CACATGACCGAGTCCAGGCTGCTTTCCCGGTCCTTGAGCTCCCGGCCCCCGACCACGAAGATGGAGTTGAGAGCCTCCCCCAGGCCGAAGAGGCAGCGCGGCGAAGGCAGCGGTGGCATCCCCAGCCACTCGGAGTCCAGGTGGTCAAACTGCGGGCGGGCAGGGCGTCCAGTCGGCGACCGCCCCGGCCCCGGCCCCGGCCCAGCCCCAGAGGGCCTCCCCAGGCCAGAGGAGCCCAGGACCCCAGACAGGACCAGCGCAGCCTGGGGGTGGATTCTGGAGACAGCGCCCCTCCTCCTCTGAGGCTGAGAACTGCCCCCCCATTCCTGAATAGGTGGATGCCGGGAGGTACCCATTAGAGCGCCAGGATGGGGCAGCTGTGCCCGGGCCCTCCCCAGGACACCGCCCGGCTCCCTGTTCCCCACCCCACCGCACAGGACGCCCAGTTACAGCCAGCCCTGCCACCCGCCCCCTAAAGCCTACAGGAAGTCTGCTGCCCTGGCCACCTGGAGTCTTACAATAACAATACTAGTGGCCCGTCTTTTTGAAAAGTTTTCTGAAGGCTGGGCCCTGTGCTGATGAACACTTTATACCCATTTAACCTTCAAAACACCTTATCAAGCAGGAAGAATAACACCGATGCCCCCGCTGACCAATGGAAGCCCAGAGGGGAAAAACAACGTGCCCACCTGTGCTTGGCTGGTGACTGGCGGAGCTGCCCCGCCTCCCAGCTTAATCCTGGCATCAAGCCACCCCTCACCCCTCTCACACCCCGCCTCACTGAGTGTACCACTCACTAGGCTCATTCCCCACCACCCTCCTCTTAAGGTCTCCAAATTCCACCTACATGGCCAGTCCCCGGGAAGCCATTTCTGCTCTCTGAGATCCCACAGTCACACTACAACTTGGACTGGCCACCCCAGTCTACTGCTCCTTCCTGGGCCTCAGTTTCCTCATCTGCATAATGGGAGGACCAGGCAGGATGTATCCCTTTGTCTGGGACACTCTGTCCACGCTCCAGTCCCAGACTCACGCAAAGGCCCTGCCCAGAACCCCTACACTGACTCTGCCCCGCTTTCTCACTGTGCCTGACCCTAACCCCTATCCGGGGCCAGGGCCTCCAACATATCAGACCGTCCTGGGGCTAACATCCCCCTGAGACACCAGGTGTGCAGCTCATTGACCACTGTCTACAACCGCCCCAGCTCTCAGGCAAGTGGCTGTCAGTGAACCTCCCTGGTCTACAGCTCGGCCTAGACCAAGGACATTCACCAACAAGTAGACACGGGCCTCTCCTGGGCCCCAAGGCTGACCGCCCAGCCCTGGCCATCCCCTCCCAGGGCAGGCAAGGCACCTGCAAAAAGTAAGAGCTCATGGGGTCCTCTTTGTTGTCCTCGTTGTAGAAGAGGCCCCCGGCCACGAAGACCTGGTTCTCCTTAGTCACCAGGCTGACGTGGTTCTTGGGGATCTGGGTGGAGAGGGAGGCACAGTAACACTCGTTGGCCGCCGGGTCGTAGGCCACGGCGCCCTCCTCGCTGATCATAAAGATGAGGTCCTGCAGGAACATGCCGAAGCGCAGGGTGTCGTTGAGGATGCCAGGCAGGACGCGCTCGTCCTCGGCCTCCGCGGCCTCGGCCCCGCCCGCGCCCCCCTTGGCCGCCCTCCCCTTGTCCTTCTTGCGCAGCACGGTGAGGCGGCCCTCGTGCGCCTCCTTCACCATCTGCAGCTTCCGCAGCAGCTCGGGCTGGGCGCGCACCAGCGGGTGGCGCTCCACGCGGCTCTCCAGGAAGGCGCG